GTGAAAGAAATTGGTAAGGATATAAGAATAGGAGCCACCCAGGCCAGATAGGTTTAGGTTTGTGGCAGATCACCATTAAGGTAATTTATTGTTCATTGTGGTGTCTAGTTGCCCTTTAAGCAGAATTTGAACATTTCATTGTTGTTGTTGTTGTCTTTATTTAGATCCGTCATGATCAATAACTACCGCATAATTCCTCGACCCACCAACATACCCTCACCGGAATGGCGACGCTTGATTGGGCGCGGTGAACGAGTTGCCTATACGACCACTGATACTGGCCTCTGTCATAGAGCCGCTGCCGCACTGGCGCCGATAATTAAACTGGACGCCGATCCCGACCTGTCCGGCGACCTTATACGAAACCTGGACCTCGTGAATATTATTCACGCGGGAACCCATTCGGATAACATCCTGCGACAGACTTATTTAAATGCCTAGGAAACCCCCAACGACTAATGCCCTCACACAGGCAGGAAGAGAAAATAGCTAAAGCAAGCAGAAGAAAGGAGAACCTCCACTTGATACACTTCACTCTCACCGTTCTTTATTTATTTATTTTGGTTCCTTTTCGAAGCCCCTTCTCGGCGACTCATCAGGTCAGATGAGTCCATCGCTTTAGATGTGTTTTTTTTTCACTGAGCCGACTGTTGTTTGTGAATTTATAAGTTTTTTCTAACCTACGGTATTACAGTATGCCGAGCTGAAAGAATAGACTTTTCCACATTCACAGGCTTCTTTTCTAACTATTCTTTCTGGCCGCGGGGCGGGGGACGGTATTAACCCACTGAAAATGGACGGGCAAATAGAAGGGCTCTTACCACTAACCGAAGTCCCGAAGGGGAAAGATAAAGGGGAGTTTATTACTGTGCGCCGATCTTGTGAGTTGTAGTCAGTGTACAGCGGCTGAAAGCGGGATTCAGTTTCAGATGTCTGCGTGTAGTTAAATATGGCCCTTGACTGCAGGCAGCAGTGATGACTTGTCTATTTACGATGGACAGAAAGCTGGCTTAATACATACTGCCTGGGCGAGGAGTGAACACAGGTCTGTGAACATTCACATGTTACGCTTAATAAATCAAAATGATAAAGATTGAATCTGGTACTTCCATGCGAGGCTGTAAGGCTATGAAACGGAATTTAGCTGGCTTAATCAAGTCTACTTAAACAAACTAAGTAGTCCTTTTATAGCTATTTATTCACGGACAATAAAATCATGGTTTGAAAAGTCGTGTTGGCAAACAGCTGTTTTCGGTCATTCACTTCAGGCC